CGGGGGTGACGAGCCATGCGCTCGAGGTCTGTCCCGGCAGACACGCTCTGCGTTGCCTCCCCGGGCTCGGCTCCTTCCTCTGCTCGCCACAGCAGATTTTAAGCTGTGAAGGAGAGGCCGTGCTCTGTCTTCGGCCAGATCCTTCTGAGGTTCAACAGGGTTTGCTTGCTTTCTTGCCCGACGTGCAGTACACGAACCGCTGCCTTCTGAAGTGGCTCAAGCTCTGGGACACGGTGGTGTTTGGGAAGGAGAAGGCTGTGAAGAAGGCCAAGCCCAGCGCTGAGGCTCATCCTCCATTCAGCCAGCCCAAGGAGCAGCAGAATAAGTGGAAAACGAAGGTCCAGCTCACAGAGGAGATACTGGAGGCTGAGCTGGACCAGCACAAGAGACCCAAATACAAGGTGAGCAGGACAGGAGGCTGCTGTGGTGGGTCTCCTCTCCTATCCCCCTCATCCCGCCACCATGGTGAGGAGCAGGGTCTTCCAGTACAGCTCTAGCAGAAATTGGATTCCTTGTTTATCCTTAGTGGTTATGGGCTTTTCTCATTTCTTTTTCTGTTTCTGCTCGAATAATGTGATAATAAAGGGAGGGGAACAGACTTCCTCCAGCCAGATTAAATGGGCTGGTTGAAGATCTTAAAGGTCTTGTCAAGCCTAAAAAATTCTATGATTTTAAGAAAGATGTACCCTTTTTAGCAGAGGCTGGTCTTGACTTTATTTGTTCAGGGCAGATGTGACACTCCTTTGAGCAAGAGTTTCTGCGTCCTGAAAAGAGCAGTGATGCTCAACTGCTAAAGGGAGCAGAGATAACATACCTGGGCCAGCTAACCAGCTTCAGCCTGTCCAGTGAGAGGATATAAAAAAGGGGAAACAAAACCAGATACTAACAGCGTTGCTTCTCAGGAGCGTGAGGGATTTGGTTCAGCCTTTTCTATCTACTGCCCTGCAAACTTAAACGTATGCATGAGAGATGCCACCAGGATGACTCTGTCACCTCTGGGGGTTTCAGTCATATTCTCCTTCCTCCAGTGACTTTCTCTTTTCTCAGTATGTCTACAAACAAGCGCAGCAGCTCCCAGGGGTTGAAGCAGACGCGTGCGCAGGCTGCAGAGCCTTGTCGCCGTGCGTGGCAGCCTCGGTCGGTGCTGGAGGAAGCCCTGCCTCGCTGCCTGCCGGGCTGACGTTACCTCTCTGACGCAGGTAGCCCTGCTCTGCGGCCCGCCCGGCTTGGGAAAGACCACGCTGGCCCACGTCATCGCGAAGCATGCGGGGTACAACGCCGTCGAGATGAACGCCAGGTGAGCCCGGCCCTGCCCTGCCCCAGGAG